TTTTATTTTCGGCTCCTGTTCATTCGGTGGGTTCGCGAAACAAGGGATAATAAAAGTCTGGCCTAACCACTAAAATATTTCTCCAAATTTATATCGATCACACCACTGATTGTCATGTTGGGTTTCAATTTAATATATACAGCGAAATCCACAAGGAACATCCCCCCCCCATATTCTGACAAAAAAACAGATGAACAATATAAATGCCACTCGTTATTGATGATAATTATTGTTACATAAGGTATATTGGATCTGGGAATGCAATTGTGTGTCCCTGGTCGTCGATTGATTGATTTGAAGAAGTTGATCTTCTAAAAATTATCAATAATCACTTTCAATCCTTGGGAGAAAAACGAGAAGGAAATAGATACCCCGAACGGTATTATTCATTAGATTGGCATTTTATATGGAGGCATTTATTGTCGCAGATCGGGTCTTTGTTTTCCGTTGAAACAAACAAACAAAACAATTCGTCACGTGACAGTGTTAAAGACAACATGATATCGAATGCGGGTAGGATCCCAGCTGGTATATTTAAATCAACCACTTAGGGCCAAGGAAGGCTAAGCAGAACAAATCGCATTATATTGATTTCCATTGGACGTTATTCACCACCAAAAAGTGTTCTGAATCAGAAGTCGTCTATGACGTCATAAAATAAGGACCACTGAGTCAGAAGGCCGAGGAAGAAGAAGATACTTCGAGAACGCTGGGAAAACAATGCACTGTACGCAAAACAAGTTCGAGGTCAGCTTTATATAGCCAACGGGTATTACAACAGTAACTTATAAACGGGGGTGATCAGAGCGTAAGTATTTTTTTACGTCACCGTATTGCTAGACATAGCGCAATCGATCGGTCAAGAACTAGGTCAGTGACAGGATTGTTTACATAATTATGCATAGTGAATGGTTTAGGTTGAGCCAAACAAATTAACCCTTATAAATTTAGTTGTATATCCCCCTAAACTAAAATGGAATTGTCCCCAGAGGGAGTCACCCATCGTGACGTCATAATAATTTCCTTGGAGTCTGATTTATCATTGTCCTTCGGACCAATCATGGTGCGTGATTCTCGTCATGTGACCGGTACAAATGGAAATTCTAAAAACAGAATCCAAAGCGAACAGGAATAGTTGTACATCCTGCGGCAAAAAGTCCGCCGATAGAGCCTCAATTTAGGTAAGTTTCTCCGGTTTTCGACAATTTTACCTAAGCACAGATTCCCCTCTTCCGCCATGTTTCAGATTTATAGAAGAGTCTGCAGCATAAGACATATTTTTGGCGACTTTAAGGTTGAGGTTACGTCGCAAGTTAAATGGTCGCCATGTTTATTATCGTACTTTTAGCTGTGTACACCGACTTCGGTGCGATTAAGGCATTTTATTCCTGAAAATATTGTACACTACTCGCAATTTTACCGATTGATCATATATTACACGTAGGGTTGTGTCGTCTGCCATCGATTATTCTGAAAAACTAGTCGAATTTTCCCGAATACGCTTCTTACAAAACGTTCATATTTGCTTACTCACCATCGACGAATAATTACATCACGGACGTTTATTTACCACCAAGTCTACTTGGGAAACGTTATTTTTAGCAAATTTTCGACTTATATATTCACAAAACCGACGTTATCCAAAAGTATGATGTATTTTTTCGGGTGGCCTAAATTTTTATGGATGTCGTGTTCGGTTTTGTTAGTGGTTGCGATGTTTTTCGCAAACAAAGGCCCGTGGTTCGATGACCACGGATGGTACTCATAATTTACATCCTCGAACGGTAACATTCACACTCACGTTCGCACCGGAAACATCCGGATCATTTGTCTCTTGTTTTGATGTTAGTCATTCACACCAAAATAATAGTCACGGTGTCGAATCACACTGGGTTTCTGTTTCGTTGTCAATAGTAGCAAATAAAACCAGGTCTAATTATTTATGCGTTCGGCAATATGTTAGTACTTGTCCAAGCATATTTAAATTTGTGTTCACTGTTGACTACCTACCTCAGCATGATTTGATACACTCGATAGTACAATTAGTTTGATTGGACATCATTATAATTTTCTTTTTGTGATGTTAAATATAGAGGTCATTGAATAAAAAAAATAATTAAAATTTAATATTTATTGCTCTGCTGTATTTTTCGTTCCTATTTTGTTTTAGTTTATTTGAACTGTGCATCTATGTTCTTCCATTAATGGTTCCCAAAGCCAAATATCCTCATGGTCTTGTCGATTTTGAATACATTTTGAATATTTTCTATCTTCGTGTGCAGATGTTTCCACAACAATGACTAAAATAATTTTCAAATAAAAGTTTGCATATGCATGTGTAAATTCCCCATTGTGGATTAAGTCATACACATTTTCTATTGTCAGACACAGAGCTTGATTATAGTAAGCATTGCTGGGGGCATGTTGAACTGGATTGGTGGGGGAGTCGTGTATTTGTGGGCTTGGCATGGTTATTTGTAAACTCGATGTACTAGTATTGTAAAATGGCCAATTTACACAAGTTTTTGTTGATTTGGCAAGTTAAGGAAACATAAAATTTTGTTAAATATCGCTTAAAAGCACTAGAATTATCAAATCGCGAATATCAATATCGGTAAAAATGAAATGGTTCACTGTAAGCATTTGTTGTAATCTGCCCGGTAATCATTCCTTTCTGTCATTTAATATAGGCATAAGCGGTAATTAATAAAGAATATGTTTGCCATTATCAATTTTTAGGCACAGACACTAATAAAGTTTAATTTTGTCGCTGTTAATTTGAGAATTTTTTGAAGTGTAAAAGCAGCATTTAGACATTTATTTGTGAGCAATTTAAAATTCTATATACATGCTATTATAATAAATATACACCATGATAACATAACTGTATTATATTTGGCCACAAAATAAGTTTTTCCTCAGTTTTACATGATTTAAAAATTGACTAAATTACAACTTATGAGCCCTTTAAGCATTCATTGCTGCTAAAAAACACAGCCAACAGTTTTCACAATTTGTTAATTTTTATACTATTCATAAAGACAGAATTTCGTCACTGGCAATCCTTGTCGTAGGATCTCGAATAATTTCTCCACTACTACAAAATTTCACAATTTTTGATGAGAATTTGCCCTCCTCAAAATTAAAGCTGTAAGGTATTTGCTAATTCTCAGACATCCAAGATTTCCAATCATCCCTAATAAAAAAAAAAGTCGAAAACACCCAGGAAATAGTAATTTGGGCTAGTTGTTGAAACTCTCCAGAATAGTATGACAAGGCTGTCACTACGTGTGCAACATATGTAAATTTGGTTGCTCAGGATTACCCCAGTTGAGTTTGTGCTGTTATTTTTGACTTTAGCTGTTTTAATCAGCTCCACAATCTGGGTTCCAAAGTACCTTGTGCATAGCCCATAAAAATACATGGTACAGTAGTG